AAAAAAAAAAAAAAAAAAAAAAAAAAAAAAAAAAAAAAAAGAAGATCAATTTTATTATTATTTGATCGTTGTAAAAAAAAAAAAAAAAGAAATTAAATATTTTTAAAACAAAAATATTTATTAAGTTACAAAATAAAATATCATAAACTATTTGTGGTTTAAGTAATTTGAAAATGAATAAAGAGTATTTTAAGTGGTTAAGAAATGTAAAATAATTATTTATTATTTTGAATAATTTAATTACAATGTCTAATTATTATTTTTATAAAAAATAATGTCCATCAAAATGAGATTTGGACCATATTAATATGGTAGACACGAACATTAAAATAAGGGCATGCCCGAAATAGAGTCCACGTGATTGGAGCCACGCACTGCGTCTTCTGACAAGGATCCAGATTATTGGCTTTAAGACCTGGGCCCACAGTCTTGTTTTTCCTCCCTTTTCTCTATAAATATCCCCCACTTCTCTCGTTTTTCCTCTCCACTTTTCCCTCCCATTCTCTCCCATTCAAATGGATTTGTTCTTCTTCCACAAAACAGAGAAAGTTTTGAGCCCTAATCTCCTCCAAATATTCCCCAAGTTCTTCCGATTCCTAGAGCTCTGCTTCCTGCTCCTTTTCCTCTCCTGGATCCTCTCTCGGCTCCCGATCGCCCTCACAATCTCCGCCGACTTCTTCCGAAAACTCTTCGGCTTCCTCGCCAGTCCGCTCTTCGGATTCCTCCTCTGTAACGCCATTATCTTCGCACTACTTACCAAACCTACCAAATTTTCAGACCGCAGCGCCGTAACCGTCGTCGATGGAGACGAAATCGATCGGATTTACGCAGACCTAATCGAAAAATCTGGAAGCGACGGCGTGCATGAACGCAAGGTGGAGACTGTGTACAAGGACAAACAGATCATCGCGGAGCCGATTAGTTCAATCGATCACAAAATTGAAGAGAGGAACGCGGATACGGAGTCCGAATCTGGAGTAGATCATCCGAAAGTGATATTGAGGACGCTATCAGAGAAACTTAAGCCGAAAACGCAGAGTGAGAAGCTCCGCCGTTCAGAGACGGAGAAGTGCCGGAATCTGGAGCATTCGCACGACATTTTGTACTACCAGGACGATTTGAGCAGCGAGGAATTTCAAAGGAAGATTGAGGCGTTCATAGCGAAAGAGAAGAAGTTTCGACGGGAAGAATCTTCCGCCATTGTACTCCACTGAGACGGTTAATCGCCGGTTGAAAAATACGACTACAAAAAGCAAAAGTAAACTTTCAATGTACAGAGTAAAATTTCTCTTACCTAGAGAAGGGTAAAGTGGGTATTTGGCTTTAGTTCTAATTTTTCTTTAGGGAAGGGGATTTTGTTTGTCTGTTACTCGTCCTATGGCTCTTGGTGGACTTGCATTTGACAACTGATCTGTGACGTTAATTTGGGACCAATTGGGTGACATTTACTTTTCGACTTATATATCTCATATAATGTTTATAAAAAAAACATGGAATTAATTCGTGTATTATATCGATTAATGATGTTAAAAGGGCTTACTTAAACTATACTTAATCACATAGTATGATAATTAGTAAGGTCGTACGATTAAGCAATAACACAATATATTTGCATTACTTAATTATGAGATCACCATTAATTCACATCTAAACAAAATTTAGAACTAATTCTCTCACACCCACATAAAATCAGCAAACCCATGCGCATTTGCTCTCTTTTTCGTGGGGCAATTGCATCGATGCATCGAGAGAGAGTTTTATCATTTTTTTGGGCCGAAGGAGCAGCCCAGATCGACGATACTGAAGCTCGCCGGTGCATCGATGCTGAAGTTTATAAAATGGAGTAGAGAAACAATGGAAGGTTGAAGAACAGGGTTATGGAGGCAAGTTGGTCGACGTCCATTATAGAAGCAGGACGGCCACGTTGCACCACGCCTCAACACGAGGAAGAAAGGAGTGGGTGCCAATGCCAATGCCAATGTTGGCTTTTGCTACTCCCAATACAATTTTAAGGTTTAGAACTGCATGTTAGATCTATAAAAACATCATACATATAAGAACAAGAAGCCTGTTGCAGCGAAATAGATTTAATCCTCAAGTACACCTGTTTCCAAAAGTTCTTTATTTCCGAACAGGAACAGTGAAAAAATTATTCAAAACCTGGAAACAAATCCAAGGATGGCTTCAAGAATATTGAAGCATCTAAAATGGTGTTTCGAGGAGGATGATTGTCAGAGCTGTAACCAGAGGACATTGTTCGTGACCTTTGGCGTTTGCTCATCCGTCCAACCTCCATATGTTATTTGCGACCAAGGTCGGGTCTTTTATGAATATCAGCAAAATATTTCAAAGGGCAACACCTCCATTAAAAAATTACGTCTTAAGAAGCTCTTGGTACTTTATCAGCCAGTATGTTATCTGGAAGGACAAGCTCTGGAGGGGTTTCACGAACAACGCCCAACATCGAATCATACTCTTCATCGCGACGAGCAAACTTCTTGCGAAGAACCTTTTCAAATTCAATTTCATCAAAGCTCTTAACATTTTCAGCTGCATGAACCTGTGATAAGTTGGAATAATTAATGGCTGACTGGGAGAAAAAGGCCATCTCTTCTTCTGAAAGCTTCCTCAGGAACCTTGCTGGATTTCCTCCCCATACCTGTGGTTGCATTAGCAACACTCAATATTTTATTTCAATCATGACAGAACCCAAGTAGTATTGATAACATAGAAGGTAGCACTAGATATCGAAGTAAAATGATTAAGATAGGGAGACCTCTCCACATGGGATCCTTGTATTCTGTCTCACAAGTGCTCCAGCAGCAACCATTGCATGTTTTTCTACGTAGACTCCATCAAGCAACGTTGCTCCCATACCCACAAATGCCTCGTCCTCGATAGTACATCCATGTAACACGGCACTGTGACCTGTCTAGTTCAAATTCGAAACCATAACCACACACCTCTCAAGGGATGGATACATAATTTGGAACGAGATTCTATCACTCACCGATAGTAACATTATCTCCAATGATAGTTGGTAAAACCTTTCCACTCAAATTGGATTTTGCTACGTGAACTAATGAGTTGTCTTGTATATTGGTCCCAGTGCCAACACTGATGCTGTTAACATCACCTTCATAATATTTTGCAGTTAAGACAAATATAAACATACAGAAGAAGATAGGTAAGGAAGAAAAGCAAACTGGTTTGACAACTGATTCTCACGCAAACAAATTTTGGCATAAACAAGATTATTGTCCTATTTAAATTAAAATACTCATCGGCCAAACAACGAAGTGGTCATTTTGCTCATCAAAAAAAAAAAAAAAAAAAAAAAAAAAAAAAAAAAAAAAAAAAAAAAAAAAAAA